CGACGAATGCCATTTTTGATGTCAACATTAGAACATTTTTATCAACAATATAAAACAACATTCATCAATAATGATAATCGAAGTAATAGTCAACAACAACAACAACACGATTTACTTATTAATGAAATGTTTTCATCTACTGGTTCTTCAACGATCATTGATTCAACACTTTGTCAGGCATTAATTAATCAAAAACAATCAACAGCATTACAATCAACTACACCAATTGGAAATATTGAATCTGATGATTATGTATTATCTTGTTTAATAATGGTTTATATTGCTGTTTCAATACCACGTCTAGCCAAATTAGAAAGTACAAAATATATTCCCGCATTAAATGCACATACAAATAATTCACATTGTATAACAAAAGCAATTAATACTCTAATAACAACATTTTTCTTAGAATATGGACAAACAAATATTGAAGAAAGATGTAAAGAATTTCTTGCACTAGCATCATCTAGTCTCTTAAGATTGATTGATGTTGATTGTTCAACAGGTAGTAGCAGTCACCATCATCATCATCATCATCATCGAAATAGTTCATCAACAACAAATAATAGTGATATTATCCATAAAGAAGCAACATACATATTACTAGATCAATTTGTTAATGAATGTCCATATTTGGAAATGTCTTTACTTGAGACATGTTTTCCTCAATCAATTTTAAGAAGTGCTTATTTTACAATATCAAAAACAGAATAATTTATCATACTCGTCTGATATTCGACTGTCAGATAATAATCATTGATCAATCTCTTTTTCTTTTGTCATCTTTATATACTGAATGATTTTTTTTTTGTACAGTCAAATAAACTCTGTCTTCTTTATATATATATATATGAAATCATTTTACTTCTTTTTTTCTTTTTATGCTGTGCAATATTTTTTTCTTAAGCTTTGTGCCGTTTTCTCATAGTTCGTATTATTTATACGACATTTTTTTTCTTAAACTGTATACATTTTTGTTATTAATAATCTTTGAATGTTTTAGCTTAATAATACATATTAAAAACAACACAGTAAGATAAATGCGTACGAAGAATGAAGAAATTTAATTCAAGTTTCTTTTTATAAAAACAGAATAATCTTCGATCCAATGTTTGTTTGATATCGAATCTTTCTGTGAACCATAATATAAAATTTGAATATCTCAATCTTGTAACGGTATGATAATATAGAATAAAACGTAAAGATAAATCATAAAAATTTGTAAATGTCAATTGATTGTCATCTAATACTTATAAAAAAATATAAAACTGGTTTTATCAGGGAACGTTTCAATAAGCGAATAGTATTAGTGTTTCCTGAATAGAAAATAATGTGTGACTTTCTTGAAGATGTTACCCACAGACAGTCATTGCTATTTAAAAAAATTCTAAAAACGAATGCGATTTTTTGAATTATTAAATCTTTAATTTTCAAATTTTCGAGAAAACAGGCGTACTATTTGAAGATTTAAAAATTTTGCATGATATTTTTAAGTAAAGACAACAGTTTTTACAGATCAATAGTACAATCAACTGTTGATTGTAAATAATAAATTTTACGAAGACAAAGTATATATTTTATGACAAAACAAAAATATAAGTTATCCGACATCGTATATTAACAAAGCTCCTATTCTACTTAAAAATATGTGATACTACTATCGAAGTAGCATGTAAAAGTAGGGGCGTCTATCCTGTGAGATGTTTGAGACACAATGCCTCAAACAAAAGTAGATGGGACGCTTTTTGTTGTAAAAATTCATTTTCTAGGTGGCACACTGAAGGCCTGAATCTCTGTGGTGGTAAAAAAGGTCTCAAATGCTTAGGTGGAGATAGACGCCACTGTGTAAAAGAAAATTCAAAATACGATGGAGAGAACGGTAATCTTCAAACAATCAAAAATCTAAAAAATAGCCTTTCTACTGAGAAATTTTCTTACATGAAAATAAGAGTTAAAATCAATCAAAAATAGTGCATTAGAAAAAATAGCTCAAACTGTCCTATGTAATGGACTATTTTTTATTCATTTGAAGTATTGCCTAAGAGTACATCATCACGAAGTTTTGCAAAAATAACGATTTTCATCAATTCTTTGATATTTTCTTTTCCATGCCATTTCGATACCACTAGTTAGTAGAGCTTCTGGTACAAGTATCAGTCGTTAACTTCTTTTTATTATGGTGAAAAACGTCTAATACTTAGTACATTTAAAGATGATACCTTTTGATGACAACAAGATACGAATCTTAGTTTAATCCTCCCACTTAATAAAAAAAGAAAATACGACTTTATGAATATCAGTTCCATATAAAAATGCTGCTTTAATTTCTTCAGTCTTATGCCGCCCCATAATAATATTTTGCAAAGAACTTTGTGAAATATCTCTTTAAAAAAAATGTCGAACTATGAGTTTTAAACCGGGTTGCTTACAATTGCTAAAAAAAAACACTGTCGGACATTTGACAAGCGATTCAAAGAACATCGTTAATGCTTGTGGAAGTCAAAGTTAAGATAAAATGTTCAACGTCAAACCGCTTACTCTCTACTAGTGAATAAAACAGTAGTTGTGTAAAGTGCTAATCGTTGATTAATGCATACTAATATTTTATCTTTCTTATTTCTTCAATTAACCATGGTTTGCTGTAATATGGTCGAGATGGAACATCGCTTGGGGTGCCGTAACGCGTTCGAAATACGCGTGGATCACTTTCAGCCCCTTTTTCTAGAAATGATGAGAGTTTTGACCCTGGAGTAACTCGACGTTCTTTGATGATTAAGGTCGGTTCTCCATTATTTGGAGATATATTGCCTAGCTTGTGTTCTGGCGTACACCAATAATTGGTACCTTGGACAAAGAAAACCTAGTATATTACTAGTGAGATGTAGGACTCATACTGAATACCTAACGGATAATGATATTCATATTCTTGTGGATTAAACGGCACATTTACAGGCCATGGATCTAGTCCAACTTGGGCTATATAAGGTTGATTGCTCGTATTACTCGGTAAATACGTTGGAGGAACGCCATAGCCTGGATAGGGAGGAGCGGGATCTGGATAGATAAAGACCATAACATAGTAAGTTTTCATTAAAACAGAACTCATTTAAAAACTTACTCTTTTCGTAATACATAAATGTATCCAACATATTTGGTACTCGTTGATAACTAAAAACCACTTTCACGAATTAATTAACTACAGAAAATGTGTAATTCAGTTTTATAGTTATAGATACAGAACAGTGAATTTAGTTTTGCAGTTTCTGCAAAGCTAAGTTCACATGTTCGAATCTCTATTCGTACAAAATTGATTTTGTGTTTTTCGATAGTTTTAGTATAGAATACTATAATGGAATATTTTTTCGCTTGTATCCTGACAGAATAAAGCTTATACCAATTCAGCTTTTGAAAGAAACTATGATTTTTACAATTGATGAGCAAGTAAAAATAACTACTGGTATTTCTTTAATAACCTTTCTTCTGCAGATAACATGCGATAGTTTACTCTAATCAGTTACCTATTTGCGTTTGAAAGTCTATCCATTTTACTGACAAAAAACAATAAAGTGTAGATTATCATGGAAAAAATGAGTTAAGTGTTCTTTCGACATTCCCTTCGACGCCAATATGTTGCTATGAAACCATCTCTACGAAGGTTATTGATTAAATTATCTGTTTTAAAATAGAATCGATTCTATTTTAAAACCGATAATAGTATTTGCGTTTTTCAATTCGTAAAAGTAGATGCTGGGAGACATCGATCTACATAAAAATGCCCTTCAAAGTGTCACCTACATATGATGCACCTTATCGTCCTTTTTTGAGAAGATGCTCAGGCCCACTTCTCCCCTCTCAATGTGGCCTGCTTTTTTTAAATGTGCGTCTTATCAGAGTAACACCTGTATACATATTCTCGAACACCGGGAGCTCTTGTTTATCATTGTTCTGCGAATGAGCAGTTTTCCTGGGCTATCCGAATCGATTGATCTTCAGGTCGAGGCATCCAAAAAATAAATGAAAGTACAGGTTCATCGGCTACACTGAATCTCGTGGCAATGTTAGTTATACGAATAAAACCCCAAAAGCTACTATTTTAGGTGAAACAAGCCATTATGGACTAGTTTCACCGAAAATCAAAAAATTCATAATTCAGTCAATCCAACGTATTTCTGGGTATTAAAAGATACCTTGGTTTATTTCCTTAAACTGATTATGTACATCAGATCAATAAAAAATGTTTTCGTCAGAAGATTTCTAGAGAATCTTTCCAAAACTTTTTTCACCGAATGCTGATCACCCAGCAAGTTTAGGCGTCGTTTCCTGGATGGTTGGTGAGATATAAGCATTTCATTTCTTTTGTATAAAATGCCAATAACTCCTGATCCAAGAGAGATAAAAACTATTTTCTTTTTACCAAAATGTAGTTCTGATTCTCCTCTATCTACGATATGAATTTAAAGAGGTAGCTGTTACTATAGTTATTGTTACTATAGTTATACTATAGTTAACTGTTACTATAGTTACTGAAAGACAGCTATTTTACGATCGAGATCCCTGGAAATGGGAATCAGTCAAAGTATGACGGTTAACTATTTTACGGTTCCAGAAATCCGTTGTGAATGAGCAGACGCTAATGTAACATACATAGGGAGGTGAACTTAAGGAAATAAGGGTCGTCGATTCTACCATAGCTTCTGTGATTAGTATGCATCACAATTACGTAAAAATATAATCACCGAAACCTATGGGGTGAACCCTTGTAAAAAATCTAGAAACCGATATCATATTGAAACCGATAAATAGAAAAGTAGTACGATGTTACTCCATGTAATTTATTACGACTGAGAGAAAACGTTATTAATCTATAAATACTTATTAGTTTTAGTAATTGATATATTCATTTATTTAATACATAAAAACATTCACAAGACATAAGTGTACAAAATAATAAGAATAGTCACATCAAACAAACAAATGACACCAAATTTGGTATGACATATTTAAGTTGAATTATTAACCAATTTTTCAAAATCTCGCCGTTCCCAAATCTAAATAATTTTAATACGTAACAACAAATATCGAACGTTCACATTGTATACATACTTGGACATAGGATTCACTCAAAGTAATCATTTGAGGTAATACGTCAATGACATGAAGATCTTGCATTTCATACCAAGTACCGGTACCCTATAGAAATAAAAAATAGAAACTCATTTTTACTATAGAAATAATCGTTTGTGATTACTTTGTGTAGAACATGAACACGGTATGTTCCTTTTCCCGGTTCTCCATCATGAACAACATTCGATATTAAATCATAAACTGATGACGTATTTTCTGCAGCTGCTGCAGTCACTACATCTGGAGGTAACAAATCTCGAAGATCAACATTTCTATAAAAATAAAATAAATTTTCTTATCAGCTCAATCTTAACGTTTTTAAAATAATTCTTACTTAATTGGAAAATTGACTATAGTTGGATTTTTTTCCAAATAAAATGTATTTTTTGTAAATCGCTTTAAAAACAAACAAAATGCGCTAGTTTATTATTACAAATGAAATAAAGACATACCCTAAAACACATAATCAAATATGGTGGTAACTTTGTTATTTCATAACGTTTTAAAAAATTTTCTTTATAGGTTTTATATTCTCTAGCTGTTTGTCCATCAAATTTTGTTAAGATTTGAAATAATGGTACTTGTGGTATAATACTCTCTTTTGTTTCATCACGAAATAAAGGTGGAGGTGGCAAATCGACCGACAGAAATAAATAAGGTGTCTCTTCATCGTATTCTACAAAAAATCAACAACAACAAATAACCATTAATCAATCAGACGGTGAATTATTTGTTACTTACCATAATATTCTTCTGTTGTTAATAATTTTCGTTTTTCATCTTCACTCTAAAATAGTAAAAACGTTAATTAATTGTTAAGAAACTTTCGTCGACGCTCTACGTTTTGTTTTCGCAGACGTACGAACTGCAACTAATGCAACCTGCTTTATCGAGTTCAAAAATAACGTCTGCATCTGTTTTTTATTCACTCTCCTCTGCGGCTTGGGCAAGTGCTATGGTATTACGTTTTGCTCACTATTTTTTTCGTTTTTCTCGTAAATCAGATCATCTAGAGAGCTCAGTGTTGGTTGCATCATCTGGTGCTCCTACATCGTCCGGATAATCTCTGAAAATTTTAGGTTGTTTACCCAAGTCGTTTGTGAGCTATAGGCATAATAGTTGACGTTACGGCGTTACAAGAAAAAGCCTTTAATTTGCTAGTAGACTTGAAAAACGTTTATATTTTTGTGAATTAACCGAGACTATCTTTTCATATTTCATACAAGTTTTAACTGAGACTGAACTATTGAATAACAAAAAGCTTTTTAAGCATTTTTTGCTGTTGCTGAGATAATTAAAAAATGATCTGTGTTATTGAGTAAGGTTTTTGTCGAGTGATGAACACCCCAACGCACAGTGGGCATTCAAGCGGACATTTGGCCAAAAAGTCGAAAATGAGCTTTTTCAAATTTGAACCGTCAGACATGTAGCTCTTGAAAAGGGCTATCGAATGGTGTATAATGATCGACTGATAATGGACTCCTTTAATTAGTAGGGCAATTAACAAGAAACGCCA